CCTTATCGCCTGAAGAAGACTAACAGTAAGCAGTCGAAACGTCGCGATCTACATCTCAAGTGACTACATCGTGAGACAAACGATAATACACTTTATGATCGTAAAGTCGTCGTCGAGCTACCCGAAGGGCTTCCGACTCCCATTGTCCAATCAGAAATAGCAGGAGTATTCCAAAATTGTGACATCAGCCTTTCTTCAGGATGCGTCATCGCAATACTTTTGCCAAAAATCGCGGGCTCACTAGATTCGCGGGAAAGGAACTCAAGTTGTTGATAGAATTTACGCACTACATTTCCAACCGTCCTGAAGATAGTTTTCTTCAATATAACGTGATTCCGACTGCCTATACCTAGAGCCTACTTGTTGAAATATTTCCTACAATGTCCGTGTTAATGCTTTTTTGCTACTCATATTCCATGACAGAATCTGTGGAAGCTCACTTACTTCATCCGCACGCCTGGGTACGACTCGTGTCCAGTCGATTACTTGGTCTTCTTTTTGCCGCGTGGAAACCCGAAGAACTGGTAGCTGGTTACGAGAAGGGAACTACGTCACTTGATTATCTGCAGAAGGATTTACCAACAAAGGTTTAACTCTTGTTGTTTTACTAGTAGTTATTCTTTTAAGACATAACTATGGCCACTTCGTTAGAACTACTAACTGCGAAAGGTTAAGCCAATTTACTCTCAGGACCTCTCTTTAAAACAATTTATTGTTCGATTACCTCTGTTTCACGTTTAATGAGCAGTAACTTAACCGTTTATAATGTCGAGAAAAAGTTACTTCATTCTCAGTTACTCGCTTCTTTTTGCTGCGTAGGTAGCCAAACTTTGTGACGACATTTGCACTCAGCTGCGTTCGCCTCTTTTGGAAAACGAATTGGGAGAACAGGTAAGACAAAAATCTTATAACTCCTCTAATACTACACCATGATAACGTATCTTGTTTGCGATCGCAAATTCAGTTCTAATGATTGCTGATCGTTTCACGCAGATTGTCAAGAACTTGGTATTTCTGGCCAAAACTCTGCAGATCCTAGACGGCAAAACGGAATCAAGGATGGAAAACAGACAACACGCGACTGTTGCTCCTGAAGGAAATCTTAGCACAAAAGATGGAACTTGTCTGACGCTGACAGCTCTCCTAAACAACATGAACAAGATAGCAACACTAGAAGCCTCTCAAACTCCCAAACATACAAAAAAGGTCAGTCCAAAATGGTACAACCACCTGGCCATTTTCAGGTTGCCAATTTAACTGCAAAGCAAGAACAGTCGTGATTTACTACGCGCGAGATTCATAGCGCTTTTCAAACTACAAATTTAACGTCTTTCACTCAGTGTTCTGGCTCATGTGTAAATAAAAGAGAACAGTGGCGGAACGGTATTACTAGTTGTAATTGTTATTAGTTGTCATTAGTCAAGCTCAGTTACTTGAATCAAACCCCGATAAATCTCTATGTTAATGGTGACAACCTTTACTGTTACTGAGTTAACTTTACGACAGTCTATACAAAATCGTTCTTTCGTTGATTTGCTCACAGAGATCCTCTGTATTACGATGGGTGGCTGCTGTGTCCATTAATCTAGGGAAAGATGGCATCGAACCGCACCTTGCAGACATTTTGAGCCCGGTTTACAGGGAGCTGGAACTAGCCACCACCTACATAGGTATATATACACTGTGCAGTGAAATAAACCAACGAACTAACCGCCGACAATTAAACCCATGCCATATTCAATAACCTTCAGAGCTATTATGCATGTGTGTAATGAGGTGTTCACAGTATTTCTCATTCCTCGAATTCAATGTCAGTGTTTAGCTTACCCCAAAATTGCTATCCTCTTTCTTTTCGTACAAGCTAATTATCTTGATATCTCTTTAAAGGGTTCTTGGTTCCCGCTTACCCGTTTCTTTTCTGTAGATTCTGATCTGGAGAAACTTGCCCAGGAAGTGTTGGAGCTGATCAAAAGTCTTGTCGGGCGGGAAACCTTCTCGCGGGCGTACGCCAGCCTCCAGCAAACGACAACAGAAGCACGCGAAACGAGAAAAAGAAAGAAGGCGTTGGAGGTGAGTCTTCATCTTTCGGTTTGTTACTGATGTGTGAATAGTTAACAATTATTGGACGAGGCGGAGCAAAATATAGTTATTTGTCAGCGTCTCGCAGATCGGGGGAAGCGATCTGCCATTTTGCATGACAAGAGCGTGGTTACAATTACGCATGAGCAGAATATTATTTGCAGGTCACATGGTGAGCTCTCAGCCAATGAAAAGGAAGGAAAAAATGCATCGAATGATAATCTCTCTTGCAAAGGATGGATCGGTTGTATGATTCTGTTCTTTTAAGTCGTGAGGTCATTGCCGATTGAAGTAGATGCACTTCACGGTATTTGTGTTTAAGGCGTATTTAGAGAAGAGATTTTCTTCTGTCTAGTGCTTCCTTGTGAAACATTTATTTTCTTGTCGGAAAAGGGCGCGTTTCCCCCACCCCCCTTCTAGGCTCCCTTTTTGGTGGAAACGACTGGATGGATGACAGTTAATAAATTAATTAAGAGGGATTGTGGACGATAAACTTGGAAACGTCAACTCGGACTAATAAATTATAATTTTAACTTCTTTGATATAGAGCGGCTGACAACTGAGTGTCGTAAAACCAAAACCAAACCAACTAATTACCAATTAGACTATTCAGCCAATCTCAAACCGTAGTAAAACCAAAAGCGAAGTTTTCGACACTCAACTGAAAACCGCTCTAATGTTGTCTGGTTCAGTAAAATTATTTGTTTGAGTCGTTTTCAGTGTTTTCTTAAACTCCATCTTCCTTTTAGGCGGTGGCGGATCCAGCGAAGAGTGCTCGTAAGAAACTTAAAAAGAACTTAGCAAAGAAGGAAACAAGAAAAAGGAAGATTGATTCTATTAAGCCGGAAAGGAAGTTGAAAGCATTTCGAAGACAAGAACATTGACATTGGCTGGGCGCTGGATATTTTCATCAAGTAACGACATGAATTATGATGACACACAAGAAACAAACCCTCCAATTTCCTCGCTCTAATGAAGGACGTTAATCTAAGACGGATTGTGAACAAACTTGGAAACAGTTGCAGACAGTTCGCCCCATGCACGGATCTGTAGCCCGGGTCTGTTGAGAGCGCACTATTAATCCGAAATATACCTATAACTACAGAATCGCGCCAAATCGCTTTTAACAAATTTTGAGATACCATCGAAACAAGTTTCTAGTTCTTGGAAGTATGCAAACTAGAGTTCTGTGAAGCAGCCACAATATTTTTTCTGGCAGCTTGTTCTTTACACAGGTCGTGAAATGTGAACTGAAGTGGACAACGTTCTCTTTGACGCTTTCGTAGTTTTAGTAAAACTAAATTTTTGTCGCCCTATGAATTCACACTTTTCTACGAGCTTTAGTGCGACTTGAGTACTTTGGCAGAACCAAAAGGTGTTTTCCTTTTAATTTTGCCGTATTTAAATGCTGTTCAGTACATCTCCAACACAAAGGCAGTGATGAGGTTTCTAATATAACGAACTCATTTGAGGACAAATAGCTGGTAAAGAGTTGGTCGAGTGACCTATTATATAACAGTAGGGGGGCAAACCGAGACACTTGCCTCAGACATTAGTTTTTCGTTTTGTTGTTTTTAGCATAGTTAATAGAGGGGAATAGTAATGAAACCGGACAAAGTTCTTTGTTGTATGTTTTTGTTCGCTTTTTTGGCCTTAATTGTTGTTTACTACCGACTGGGGAACTAACCAATAGAAACGTTTAGGTTACGTAATTCATGCATAGTGTATGAGCAAAAAATAAAAGACTGTGCACGGTCGTGGACCTTCCAACATAGATCTTGGCATCTTTGCTTGCTCGTTTGATGTTTACCGGGTTTCAACCTCAGTCGTATGTTTCTTTTTTCTGGCTGCAGCCCTGAATAGGGTCTCTTTGGTTTTGCTTTTATGATTTCAGAAAGTGTTAATAAATTGAAGCAGCACCAGTTCTGCATTCTAAACACTTGTATCAAATTTGCGTATAGAATTGCGCTACAATTGCGCATAACTGCTACAGTTTTGTATCAAATGTGCAGTTTTCTTTTCCCCTGCATCTTCTCCTAATTCTTGTAGAACACTGACCAGTTGATTGAATATAATGTCTCCATACTTGTCTGTACTTGGGGAGTCGCCAACAATACACAAAAGGATTCACCACCGACTGCAAATGAGATAACGTTGTTTCCAAGCCAGTAGATACAAGTAACATCATTGGATAAGAATAGCAAGGGACGCAGAAATATACCAACGTTATCAGCACAAAATACGGAGTTACGATGAATAGGGAAACGACAATCGCAAGCGCTAAAAGTTTCGCAAATCGCGCTTCTTTGTCGGCGTAAATTTGCTGGGAAACTCGAACACTGTCTTCCAAGATTCTCTTCTGCCAAAGTTTATTGTTTTTGCGAAGTCTATAGAGAATCACTAGGTAAAGACAGAAGTTGACGTTCAACAACACGAACGTCTGAAGGATGAAAACAAAGTTTGTAACAAAAAAGCTGTTTTCAAACATGAAGGCTGCGACTCCAAAGCAAATAAAATAGGCCCAAAGCAGAGTTACTGCCAGATTTATTCTTCGACGAGTCACAATGGCTTTGTACTTCAAAGGCCTTAACACTGCACAAAGCCTGTCCATTGACAAGAGCAGCACATGTGCAAAGGATGCGCCGAGAAAGGTGGTTGAAAGTGAGTAAATTGCGTGGAAAGAAAACGGCATTTTTTCATCTTCGGCTATTGTCAAAAGCCAGTAAGCGTCGACTGGGGACAATACCAAACCAACGAGCAAATCCGCGATTGCCATGGATTGGAGAATGAAATTTGGAGATGCGTTGCGCAAGTTCCTCAGCGGATCTTTCCAGACTGTATAAACCACCAACGCATTGCTTAAAATGATCGCAGGGCTTATCACACTTAAAATGATGCCCTGTATCCACGAGAAAGTTAGGAAGTGCTTTCCCTGATATTTTAGAAGCGCATTTGAAGCGACTTCACCATTCATGTGCCAGAAATCAGAATGGTTGAATATCGATGCCATTTCTTCTTCTCGTCTCTGTGTGATCACCTTTTAACTGGTCGTGAAATTATTTTATCCTTTTGTTCATGATTTGGATTCAGTTTGCAGGGAGGTAAAATGAAACATCTTTCAAGTAATGTAACTCCTATTTATAGAAAAAGCAATCAGAATTTCAATTTCAATATACATGCATTTTCTTTTGTTTGCATTCGGCCAATTTCCATCCTTCGTCGCCCAATTTCGGTTTACCAAAATTAAACGATTCTTCGTGAAAGAGAATAATTAAATTTTAGGAGGTGTTCTATGTTCTTGCAATTGGCAATGTTTCTTATACTCTCTCAACTCGGCGACGTATTTCTCTCAATACCGCAGGTGGTTTGATAACAAAAGATTGTCTGTAGTTAGCTTCATTGTCGCCAAAAAGTGCGGAAATCACTTACATAACAGCCCGCTGCGTTATTGAACGATTCGGAAGTATCTTTTTAGTTTCACGTCAAGCCGGACAAGATTACAGCTTCAGTGAACCAATCAGCGCCCCCGCGGAAATGGCTGCTAATTCACTGTATATCATGAATGTGGTTTAATTACATTAGTATGCCACTCACTTACCTTAGACGTGTATCTTCCAAAATTGGAAAGCAAATAACTATGTAGTTTCCATGATGCATTAAGAAAGAAAGAAATGGAAACTTGTTGGTTCTATATATGACAACTTGGGTTAGGATAACGAGTGTAGATTTTAAAGAAATGATAATCGAAGCTGTATCAGTTTTGCGATTTTAATAAATCGAATTAAAAAAATGTACAGAAGTTTGAAATTAATTCTGTGGCTTGTAAGGTATGTCGTTTAAGGGCTGACAGAGATCTTGGATGAGACTCTTTATGATCTGCACAACTATTCTTTCTTTCCACAACCTAGAGGTATAAATGACTACCGTCGGCTCCCGGTTTTCGGCTACATTGCTGCCCGTTGCGTGACTTGGAACTGGAGCGAGCGTTAAAACTGTTTCTGTGGGGTTTGAGGAATGAGGAACTCTGATGATCGTAGACCGGTTAGGGTGGTAGGGAGATTCCAGGGATCTAGAAAATGGACTACAATGATCGGCGCCTTCCAATGATTTTAGAGATGTTAGGTACCCGGGAGGGCTACTCTACAACGTTTTATAAGGGTAGGCTCCGCCGTGAGGTGTAAACTAGGCTGTCCCAATTGTGCTCGGCAAGTTTTGAGCAACTTTTGACGTTTGGCGCAACTTTTTTGGGGAGATTAGCAACCTCGAGCAACTTTTGCCTTTCTGCGCAAGTTTTGAGTAAAATGTAAGTTCAACGATTTCATAGAAAACTTTAATTTACGCGACTTTCTGAATGTTCATCAAACTTTTAAAGTTTGATCACCTAACCTCTCACTTGACAACGTTCGGCAAGACGTCAAGTGAACCATGTGTTTTTAAATTTCGAGCAACTCTTTAAAGCTAAGTTTGAAGCTATTTTTCTTGACCGATGTAAGCAATTATTGTGAAGAGCGAAAAGTAAAGCTTTTGATTAACATTTATACTAAAATATCAAGACATTTAGATAGTAAATTTTTGAATTTTTGGAACTTTTTTTAATCAACTTTTGGGCATTCCAGTGAGCAACTTTCCAGCGTTCTACGAGCACAATCGGGATAGGCCTGGTGCAACCTCTTACCTTTTTGTACACCACTTTGGCAGAAAAGGTACTCCATTCGTATACCTTAAATTGAAAAAAAGGTATCCCTTTCACATACTTCCATAACTGACCCGTATTATGAATAAATCGCCCAAAAAGAAGTCTTCTTGTCATCTTGATGTCCGTTCTACCGTTGGGGAGAGTACCTCTCCCCCTCACTACCGCCCGGGATGCACCCAGAATGCACCGCGATCCTTGAACTGGTAGGTACCAGTCTCTTAGCATACGCAAGAAAAGAACATGGCGGACGGCGGAACACGATGAGGAAATTCCGTAAACTTAACCAGTTGCAGAGATATATCGAATGTGTGAAGGTGAAAGTGCGCCCTCACTTGAAAAAAGAAACAAAGTATCAATCCACACAACAAAGAGAAGAGCTGGCCTCGAGAGTGGAGGAGTTAAGAGCTGTTTCAAACTCGAAGAATGTTCGAAGAATATGCCAGAATGATATTTCTGTTGACGAATTCCGGCGTTGCTTTGAGAAAACGAACACTCCAGTAATACTTTATAGTGAACCTCATTGGAAGCGAACTAACTCAATTTCACAATCTAGTCCTGCTTTAGTGCGACTGACTAGATTCTTAATGCTGTTTAAAGATGAATACTTAGAATGCGGTGAAGATGGCGACGGTTATTCCATTGAAATCAAACTGAAAAATTTCTTGATATACACGAGACGATTTAATGACCGATTTCCGTTGTATATATTTGATGGTTCGGTACCTCATTGGAGAGATGCACAGAGGAAACGAATCATGGTGAAAAACTTGTTTGATCCACCAAAGTTTTTCAAACAGGATTACATGGCTTACCTTGGAAAAGAAGATCGTCCGCCATGGAAGTGGCTACTGATAGGACCAAAGAATTCTGGAACTGCTCTTCATGTCGACCCTCTTGGGACAAGTGCATGGAACAGGCTTTTATTTGGAGAGAAAATTTGGCTTCTTTTTCCACCAGAAACTCCCGCTGAACTATTACAATCAACTCAGCCGGGCAGTTATTGTGCAGAGGCGTGTGATTGGATGATTTCTATATACCCGAGGACCCAGTGTAATTCCTGGCCACAGAAATATAAGCCACTGCTTGCATTCCAGTTCCCTGGAGATGTCATGTTCCTTCCCTCTGGATGGTGGCATCTTGTACTTAATGTGAAAACCAGTGTCGCAGTGACACAGAATTTTGTTAGTCAGGAAAATTTCCCACTGGTATGGGAAAAGACTTGTAAAGAAAAGCCAGATCTAGCAGAGATGTGGTCAAAGGCTCTTTTGAAGCATGGCCAAACTCATCTTACAGCATTCCAATCTGCCTTTCATTTCAATTAATCATTGCCTATGAAAAAACAAACCAAATGGAGTTGGTAGTGTTAACAAGTAGATAACTTGTAATCTTTTATAGTTTATCAGAAGTAAAGCTTGTGTCAGAGACTGGAATTTTGAAAAGCTGACTCTGTCTGGGCAATTCTTAGTTGTTCTCCATCTCTTTTGCAGCTGTTGGTGAAAGAAAATAAATATGTATTACAGGGCTGTAACCTGTAACACCTGTTATGGCTGAGTGTACTTGATGGGCTCTTGATGGTATAGGTGAACTTGCCCATAGTTGATACAGTTCCCTCTAAATGTAACAAGTTTGTTATGGCTGTGAAGATTAAGGGTATAAGTGACTCAAAACTTAACGACAGCCTTGTATTATTTTCACTACTTTTTTCATAGAGCTAAAGTTCAGTAATGGGCTTTTATACTAGTGAACATTTTGCATAGTTTAGTAGAAATAATGGAGTTGAAGTTGTGGTTGCACCAACTGTCAATATCAACAATGTTCAACCAAGAGTGTAACTAAAATGCAAGTGTTAACTATCTTTGACCAAATTACTACAATTATCAGTTGAGTAAGGCGGGACAACAGTTTGGTCACCAAGTTTTAAAGTAAAAATCATGTTGTTGTCACAAGCAACTGGCTCCGTATCCATTGGCAACTTGTCAGCCTTTGACATCATCAGCAGCAAAGTGCGTGAAATTGTAGGCGACGCGACAGGTGACGCATGGCTGTTGATATTGTTACCAACAGAAACAAGGTAAGTTGCCTGTGACAACACCATAATTTTAGGGTTAAAACTTCATAACCAAACTTCCCTCATGCTTTACTCANTAAATATGTATTACAGGGCTGTAACCTGTAACACCTGTTATGGCTGAGTGTACTTGATGGGCTCTTGATGTTATGGGTGAACTTGCCCATAGTTGATACAGTTCCCTCTAAATGTAACAAGTTTGTTACGGCTGTGAAGATTAAGGGTATGAGTGACTCAAAACTTAATGACAGCCTTGTATTATTTTCACTACTTTTTTCATAGAGCTAATTAAGTTCAGTAATGGGTTTTTTTCATCAGCAGCAAAGTGCGCGAAATTGTAGGCAACGCGACAGGCGATGCATGGCTGTTGATATTGTTACCAATGGAAACAAGGTAAGTTGCCCGTGACAACACCATAATTTTAGGGTTAAAACTTCCTAACCAAACTTCCCTCATGCTTTACTCAACTGATAATCGTAGTAAGTATCACGAGAATTGCAGGAACAACAAGATAGCACCACTTTGATTGGCCATATTCATAATTTATTCTTGGTTGCAACTGAGGCTCTTGTGGGCGGTCTTTTCAAATGCAAATGATATAAACATCTTGATAGTCTCTAGAAATTGAGCCTCCATTGCAAGCTAGTGACCATCCCAATAGCAAGAACATGAAATTATGTGGCCTATTCTGCTAACTTATCAGTTCTTATGGCTTACAGTTGAATT